TATATAACGACTCTCTTTATCTCCGGTTTATCATTATTATTATTTTTTAAGAAAAAAACCAAGTTACGCGTTTGTTTGTATATATATACATACACACATATATTGTCAGACTTCTCTATGCGTGATCTTGGAAAAACTACGGGTTTATGAAGTGGGGGGTCTAAGGAGGTTATAACTGACTCAAAAAATAACGGCTTTTTTTCCTAGCAATTCTTAAAACCTGTTGATGAAATCATCTTCAACGTAACGTTACAGCTCCGAAACTATGGCGGTTAGGTTACGTAAAATAAATATTTGTCAAGGCCGTTATTTCTAGGGCAATATTAGCCGTTGATGAGTGGATAGATTGTATAATATTATATTAACGACCAAATTGAGAGGATTTTGATGACGTGATGAGTGAGCAAGATTAAAAGATATAAATATATATATATAAATCATAAATGGCATATTTATATATATAACGGATAGCCGTTTGGGTGTAGTGGGAAGGGGACGTAATGGTAAACGGAAGGGTAGGAAGTGGACGAGAAACTCAAAAGAGAAAAAACTGCTAAAACGGGGAATGCGGGGGGTTAGGGGGAGTTAGTTAGTTGAAACAGTACACATTACGTACTGTCACCCTAACTGTATACTGTTGCGGTTGTGTAGGTACGGCTTGCAGGGTCCATGCTTATGGGGGTTGAAATCTCAGTTTTACACGACATGATGATGATAAAATTAATTGAGTGATGTTTAAGATTTTTTTTTTTTCTTTTTAAACGAGGGATTTGAACTCTATATGTCAATGGAAATGTGTATTGAGATTATCCAAGTTTTAAGTAATTTTATGAAATCTCGCAACAATTTGGGTTGTTTGAAAACATGTACGGCTCTCATTTCAAATGAGGAAAAAAGGGATTTGAGCTCTATACCTGTTTCTGATTGTTTAGAAACATGTATACAAGTAAAACATATATAGTATTTGCGTTTTTTCATTTTTCTGTGTTGAAATTGGCCAAATATTACTGTACATATGCTAACTAAGGGTATTCAAAATTTCATAAAATCCGTCAACCCAACTTTTTTCCACGCACTTGCTAAACGCAAAGGCCATATCATTAAGCCATAGATTTGTTGGACCGGGGATTCAACCCGCCTTTGTTCGGTAGGCAAGTTGAGTTCGAGTTGTGAAAATCCTTCACAAGCTTGACCCGTCCCTCTTTTTTTTTTTTTTTTTTTTTTTTTTTTTTTTTTTTTTTTTTTTAATGGATTCTTATATCTGATTAACTCATCTTTTTTCTTTTAATTTTGGCTAGCTAGTTGCTAATAGATGATTGTGGTAAGTTTGAATTCAAACCCTATTTTACACAACGGATTAGTATATTGTAAAGTGCTGTTTATCGTAGTTCATGTTTATTAGTATTGTAAATTGGTTTAAGCTCGTGGCAATAGATGTTTATGCTTAAAATGCTAAATATTCCAACACATAAGTGGACAAAAATAATTTATAAAAAGGATTAGAAGTTAAACTTTTTAGAAAAAAACGATGCATATGTGCCCTGCTCACCAACCCACCCGCCAAACCATGAATAAATAGCCTAAGACCACTTAGTGTAGTAGCATCTAGGTTTGAGTCATTGAGTGGGATGGGATTAGGAAAAAAAAAAAAAATGCTGGTTCGAGATTGTATTAAAATAAAAATAAAAAAAAGAGAATAAATAAGTTGGTTTTCGTAGTGTTAGCAGGTAAAATTGGGAGTGAGCAGTGTGCTACAATGCTAACGTAGTATGATTGACAAAGACACACAACCTTCCAACTTGTAACACGTGTATGTTTCTTTTCAAATAATTCACACATGAAGCATTATTCTCATAGAAAACAAAATTCAACTTCTTTATGCTTTTTACAGGATGGTCAAGAAAAAAAAATATATTGCTAAAACGTATCAAGTTTTATATTGTTTATAGATGTACATGAGGTGGGTTCTCAGAATCGAGTCTTTGAATTATTGCTTGAAATATCTTTCATCTGGTACAATAGTAATTTAAACTATTTGTATGGACTGGAAATTCAAAATTTGAGGGCCCCCATTGCCGCACCTTTCTAAAGCTTCTGCGATGTGCATCTACTACCAATAGAAAAAATTCTATCCAATTATCAAAATAATAATTAAAAAAAGTCTTTCCAATTATAAGGTCTATAGTTTGAGAGTGGTTAAAGGCTATATAGATCAAGGTTATACCATAACTTTTCCCCCTTTTTTGGGAGGATAATTTTTTTCACCGAGTTATCATGTTCAACCCCACTATTACATACACAATGGCATTCAGCTATCTTTTAATAATTTTAATGCCATTTTCTTACCTAAAAGTATTTGATAAGCAGTGCAAGCATTCGGATATATCATATCAATTAGGCTAAAGAGTATTACTACTAGTCTACTACTGCTAGTTGTGGTACTCTTTACCTGTTTTTGCTGTCGTTTAGCAACCGAAGATTTTTTTTTTTCTTTTTTTGAAAAATATTAGCAAGGGCACTTCAAATACAATGTTATAATTTATAATTGATGTGCTAATTATAAATTTAACATTTGAATGTAAAAAAATATTCTCTAATAAAAAATTATTTGTTGTGCTAAATTTCTATTTTGTGAAAAATTTCTTACTATATAGCACATGACAAACATAACATTTGATTGATATGTTTACCTTTTCATTTAATTATTGCAACTTTTACGTATTTAAATTATTTCAAAATTAAAAGTCTACTTTTACAACTTTTAAAGCTTATAATGATAGAAAGAAGTAAATTTAACATTTCAAATAACATTATGCATTAACATACCTCATCATATTTTTTAGTATTAAATATACAATTAGCATCAAAATTTACATCCAAGATGGTCTAACCACGGAAGGAAGGAGAAACTATGAAAAATAATAATGCAATCATTTTTTTTTTTTAACTCTTTTACCCCCTTAAAGTTTTTCAAAGTACTAATGATGTTGGGAGTGAAAGGAGGTAGTAGTGTAGTTGCTTTCAAGCGAGAGAAGAAAAGTGATCATACGTCTCCTTTTTCTATGATAAGAAACCACTTGATGTATTATTCTCACATCTCTTGCTTTTGCACTCAGATCTCGCTCACACGCCCATAATACATTGTATGATTGAAGCATATGTCCGGACTCCGCGGATTAAAATATTAACAATAAAGACACAAATTAACGGTAATTACACACCCGACTCCACCACAACACCCTCAACTTTAAAAAACAATATATATTAACAATAACGAGTAAACCAAAAATAAAAAATGTTACGCAAATTTATTAATTATTGATTGCATGAAGGCAAGAAGAACCTCTGCCTCTTGCTTCTAATGCGACAATTTGAAGCCATAGATTCTGAAGCAATTTTGCTCAAAACCAATTTAAGCGACTGTTTTAGAGTGTTTATGGAAACGGCTTCTTGAGCATGATCCTTAGAGCAAAGAATGAGAACGCTCTTGATTCTGCCACCAATACTAGCCACATCGGCTCTAACTGGTGTGAGTCTTAGGCCTTTGAGGACCTGAATGAGCTCCGAGAAAAGCTCTGGCCTGTCGTCACAGCAAACCGATGCCCTTATGTAAATGTTGTTGTCACTTTTACTGCTTTTTTTGTTGGTGAGGTTCATGACATTCACATCTTCATCAGAAAGATCACTCTCAATAATTATCTCATCAACTTCTGTTGGAACTATCAAGGATTTTCCCACTTCCACTGCTTTTCTCTTCAGATCCTTCACTTGATCAATCACACTTCCTAACAAAGCCGCCTTGTCCATCTAATTCATTAAAAAATAAAAAATAAAAAAAATAGAAACTTTTAGTATATATAAAAAATGGAAAATTGGTATTGAAGTGAATATCTACCCAAATCAGCACATGCCCAATATGACTAATGAACTCATATTTGATCTTATTCACCCAAAACATGAGATCAGAAATAGTACTGGGCAATAATCTAATAGTATGTTTGGTTTATAAATTTGAAGAGAAATATAAATTTTTACCGAAAAAAGTTTAAATTATGGCTCAAACCTATGAACCAAACACTTCATAAATCTATCAAATTATCAAAATATAGAGAGATGAGAAATTTACCTTATCGGACTTGGGAATTAGTTTCCTAAGAGTTGCAAGCTGTGCATTAATTCTGTCCCTACGACGCTTCTCTGCTTGGCTGTGGCTCTTAGAAGCGGCCATTGCTTTATCCTCTGCATGATTATCAATCGGTAGAGAAAGCGATGGTAATCCACAGAATTGGAAAGCTGTAGAGGTTGATACATATTGATGAGAAGGTATGTGCCATGGAACCAGCAACGAAGACTCTGAAAAGTTTGCCTCTTTGGGCTGATTAGGAGAGGAATATTGGTGGCAAAAATTTTCCATGGCCGAGGAGAAAATAAATCAAAACTAGTCATCGTAAAATCTCACTCAGTACTGCTTTTTATCCCACATCAATAAGAGCTATAGCAACTAGTTTTACTGTTTACCCAAAAAAAAAAAAAGGCGCTAATAGTGATCTGATATGGTGATCTTCACGTATGATGGTGATTGGTGTAATATCCACAAGGGCCTTATTGAAAAAAAAAAAAAAATTGTCTAACGAAAATTGTGCTTGGATCTATCCACTTGTCATTTCAACAATATCGTGATTATTTGTTTATAATTTATTTTTTTTTAAGATACAAGAAATGACCCACAAGTGAAATTGTAGATTGTCCTATGCCAGGGTATTAATACTAATGCTGACTGAACTTTGGACAAAAAATCAAAAGGGAATGCACAGGAAGTCTCTTCGATAATTGGTATAGATAAATTGACCCACAAGTGTACAATCTTTCAAAATTACTATGGTTCTTTGGTGCTTTTATTCTTACGCAGGATATGTATGCATATAAAGCCGCAACAGTGTTCCTATTTAGTTTCTTCTTCATTGAAATCCAATACAAATTGTTTCTTTGTTTGAACTTTAACAAATTTAATTTTTTTTTTCCTAATTTATGTCAAATTGAGGCCTAAAGAGAAGGAACGAATTAGCGGCTAAGTTTGTCCACTTCCATAGGCGGGGTTTTTTTTTTTTTTTTTTTTTTTTTTTTTTTTTTTTTTTTTGACTAGATATATATCCTACACGGAAGTAAACAAGAGTGCTAAAATCAGAATCACAGCAATATTGTCACTTTTGTAGGACCGTGTAAAACTCACCATAAAGACGACTTTAAAGATTGATACGACCTTTGATCAACCACTCACTTTGCCAACTTCTGTTTACTCAAAACAACATTGTGTGGTATATATGACTCCCGTGTTCTTTTCTTCCTCTAGTGGGTTTTTTTTTTTTTTTTGTTTTATTTTTTTTTTCTCATCTCTTTTTTACTCGCAAGAGGGGATCAGAAAATGCAGTTTTCTGGGTCCCATTTGCTTCGACAGTTTTTGCTAAATCAGATCGTCGGCAAGATCTTGACACAATGAAAATGTGCCAAACCAAAGTTTTTCTTCATGATTGAACCTAAAACGGCTATGTCAAATACCCTTAACTTGTCTACTTAAGTTCTTCTCAACTTTCTTTCTTCTTCTCTCAAGATGCGCTTAGGGTTTGATCTCCACAGCCGCACTTTAGGATCCCTGCCCGACCTATGTACGAGTGAAAACTAAACTTAAATTGAACCAAGTCTTGTTCTATTAGTGGGTCCTAAATTTTCAAAGTGAAGAACGGAATGGAGACAGGTTGACACCAAAAATCATTTTTTCTTACATTTTAAAAAAAAAAAATACTTTGGATAGCAAGATCCCGCAAAGATTCAGCAGGCCTGCTAGAGAAAAACTGGTGTGAAATACAGGGAAAGAACCATGATGAAAATGTGCCAAATCAAGGTTGTTAAAGGAACCAACTTTTTCTTAACATGCTCTATGGAGATCGCCCTTGGATTCCACGCAACTTGGCGGCCGGGGTTTTTTGGCACCTTTGGTTAACGACAAACGACAGAAAACAGCAGTAGGGTTACTTAAAAGATACGATAACCATAAGAAATGACGACAAAAGAGACAATGAACAGCTCAATTAAATCACGGGCACATCAAAATATATAAACCGAGCCCTCAGACCCCATTAAGCACACAATTTAGTTTTAGCTTTTCAAGTTGTTTTGGATCAGAAATCTAGGGACGAGGTTTAAAGATTTGAATAGCCTAATTTTGTCATATCAAAACTCTATTCCATAGAGTTAAACAAGTCACAGAACTCTGCTGTATGAGTATTAATAACCCTTTTATTTATTGTCTAAATAATCGGATTTGAGAAGATCTGTCATTAGTGATAATTTGGCGTTCATAAACATGCATTAGAGCTATGTTCTCTATCCAAAGTTCAATGCTTTGAATAGCCTTTTGTCATATCTAGACTCAATTACACAAAGACAAACAAGTAGAAGAGCTTAGTAGACGGTATATATTTTCGAATCGTTGGATTTTGACCAAATCACGTCAACTTTTTTGCACTATTTGATACCGACTTGGAATAATGTGACAAATAATGTGAGATTCAGATGCACACGTTACCGCAAGACGTTCCCTACCTGATAAGCCTTCTGAACAAGGTACACCATGCTGCAAATGTTGAATACTACTATAAATATTGACCAAGCAAATCTTTGTACACTGACTGCAAATATTTCTTGCCCGCAACAAGATTTTATATCCACAATGCAGATACAAAAACAGTGTATGAATGGATCAAGAGGGTGGCTTGTTCAAAATTTGTGGAACCCCATTGCCAGTCTAAGTTTTAGTACTCGTTGAAATGGATGGCACCAACTTTCCACACAATGTATGTTGTGGCAAACATCACTGTGCTGATGAAGACAAATGAGAAAACGATGATGAACAAATCATTACCCCCAGGAAACTGGAAAGTGAAGCCCTGCTGTGGCAGCCCTCGCTTGCTGTCGTCGAACATATTTCCCGGGGCTTCTGGAAGTCCCTTTTTCTTCCCACGATCGCTCTCTCTAAGAGCATCCAGTACTTTGCTTCCCATGTCTGGTTTAGATGCCTTTGACTCTGTGTTGTAACGACTGAGAACCCTGGCTGCCCTTAGTCTCTCCCTCACCGTTAGTGGTGATCTTTTCGGTTTCTCTTGCTGGTCAGTTGATGGTAATGTCTCTCCTTGATTTGGAGAAATTGGTGAACCGTTGGAAGCCTCGGAGGTTTGAGGCAATGACTCGTTTCGAGGACTAGTTTGGACCTGACTATTTTCAATAGAATAAAGCGAAGAAGGAAGATTACTAGTTGAAATTTGATCATTAGACAATAATCTTTCAGCATTTCCAGAACCGCCATCGCTGGTTTCTGCAGTAAACCGATCGCCTTCTGCAACTGAGAGGCTGAAGTCCCACCTTTTTCCCTTTACAAGTCTCCTTGACCCTGATGCTCCAAAGGAGGATTTTACTTGGCAGGCCTTTGATATTGAAGCTCCACTAGAAGGCTTTGAGACATTCTGGTACTTGATTCGTAACTTCTAAAGAAGAAACACTTGTAAATGACTAACAAATACAGAGATCTTTTCTTTTCATTAGTAACAAATAAAAGAAAAATCATCCCTCCCTATCATAGGTATAACAAGACCTTGAACCATTAATGATCATGAGCATAGTGTTATAATCACACAACTACATATATTGCCGAAAAGGCAGCTAACATGTCCTTTGCAGGAAAAATAGAAAGGTTACATGTGACAAAAAATAGACTCGGTCTCGGGGAATTACAAAATTTTGAATGTGAGAAATTCCCTCCTGAGTTTGGCAGTAAACTCCAGGATAAGCATGTTATCATCCCAACAGTTGCTATAGATTAGCTAAAGTCACTGATTATTATTATTATTTTTAATAATCTCCAGTATTAGTTTGGGCATGTTAAAGTGGACATTGTCATTGTTCAACCACCTATGGGAGATAAGAGTGGCTTAATCCAGTAGGGTCAAGTCAATAAAGAACAAACTAGACTCCATTACAGAAGAAAGTAAATACCAAGCTCCAAAACTAAGCATATCATTTTTCACCATTTCCTTTCTTCTATTGCTTAGATTTTGTTTATCACTATCAGTAGATTCAGTAGTTGCAAGTTTTAAAAGGCTTCAAATATGCCATATGATTTCCACAACCTGAGATCAGAAAATGTCCTAAAACTCCTCCTTCTCTCCCTCTCTCCCACGAAATCTACCTTATTCCAGATTGTTACACAAACAGTGATCAATACAAATCTATATGCTAATTAAGATATAAACAGGTATAAGTTTGAATTAAATTATTTAAACACAAGAAGCTGGGGCTGGTCACACGTTTACTACCATGAAAGGGAGATTTTTTTTTTCCTTCTCTTCTTTCATCTCCTCCAAAGTCCATTTTCCAAGCAAAACGCGTTGTAAACAAACAAAATCCTAATACGAATAAAACTTGACTCCCACCAATAAAGCCACAGGAAAACTCAGAAACTTCGGAAGCAAAACATTAACAAGAAAGTATTCCACAAAAACCCAGATAAGAAAAATGGTTGTTCACAAAATGATATATATATATATATATATATAGAGAGAGAGAGAGAGAGAGAGAGAGCAAAGGTTTACCGTTGAAGTGAAACCCAGGACGGAGTTCAATGACACTGCCATTTGTGGTGTGTGTTTAAGGGCCAACCATTTGGAAAAACAAAAGGAAAGTGTTTTGCTGGGAATTTTGTTTGTGGGGGAAGTAACTGGCGATAAGGTGAGTGGCTCGTAATCGAAAATAAATCTTTTACTTGGCATCTAACTGATTGCCGTCAAAGCGCGTGTTTGGCACGCCGCTTTTAATGAGCTTTTATTTTGGGCCTGAAAAGTGTATCCCATTGGGTAACTTCTGTTTGGCCCATATTTGAGTATTTAAAAAATAGTAAAAAATATGTCAATATGAAAAGCTTAAGAAAGTATATAGGTCAATTTTTAGTTATAGAAATTAATAGGCCATAACTTGTCAAGTTATGGTTCATAACCAGATAAGTTATGGACAAACTTGTCAAGTTATGGTTCATAGTCAGACAAGTTATGGACAACAACTTGTCAAGTTATTGTTCATAACTAGACAAGTTATGGATGAAAACAGTAATTTGGCCTATTTATTAACTTATGTAAACTATTGGCCTATTAATTTTAATTCATCTCAAGTCTTGGCCTATTTTCCTCTTTCTCCCAAAAAAAAGGGTTAATTCCACTAAAGTTTACATTCAATCTCACTTTAGTCCATAACTTTTCAAGCGTCACACAGATAGTCTATAAGATTTTATTTTATTTCAATTTCAGTCCTTTCATTAACTAGGCGTTAAAATTTGATAGAATCTATGTAAATTAGAATATAAAATTAGAAACAACTAAAATTTTGAGTATATATGTGGAAATTAACTTTTGATTTTTTATATTATTTTATGGGATGTTTGTTTCAAGAGTTCGTTCCTAGTTCTGAGTCATGGTGCTTGATTCTTTACAGTGTTTTTCTCATGAAAAATTTAAATTTCAAAAATCAGAATCGTGAATCATAGTTCTGAACCCATTAACCAAATGTCCCATTAGTCTCTAAACTTTATATGTTTCTAATTTTAGTCTATAGTTTTTATATATTCTGTCAAATATTTAACACTAAACTAACAAAAGGACTGAAATTGAAACAAAATAATATCTCAGGGACTAACTATGCGACGTTTAAAAAGTTAAGACTAAAGTAGGATTGAGGCTAAACCTCAAAGACTATTTATGAGATTAACCCTAAAACAAATAAAAAAGTTTTCTCAATAATGATGATGATGATTATAAATGGTGATTTTCACTTTTCCCAGCTTAAGTAGGAATTGTAAGTACAAAACCCCATTTCCCCATTAATCAAATAAAATATTGCCAATGGGTTGGTGCTGCTTGCGGTAAGGTGACTCCACTAACTATCTAAACAAAACTAAACAAAGAAGCCTAATGTTTACTGAAGAAAGCATTTCAGTAAACAATAAAACGTATCATCCCTAACATTGTGACATGCACACACTCTACACGACTACATGATCAAAGTAAATTAAAAACTCTACAATATATAATAGTAGTACTACTAAAATGGATTAAGATTAAGTAACTAAAGAATATAACGCATATAACATATCAACACCAAAAACTAATGATAATGAGCAATGGTATCTTCCAATATATAGTGCTCTTCCAATCTGCGAAGCAAGAAACACTTCAGCAGTTGCACACTTAATCATGTCATCGGTCAGCCGCCGGCGGGCGAACTATTACCACGCGAATTCGACTACGTGATTTTTTCTCCGCTTCTCTTAGTTCATGTGTTATTCTCCAAGCACAACCCCAGCCAACTTGGCTAAACCATAACGATTCAAGTTAATCACCTTCCGAGCAGCCAACGCTCGCAGCTCCACCAACTTGGGTATGACCCAGGCGTGGTCCTTCTCCATCTTCTTCACCACTTTCTCTATTCCGACGCCGACAACTGTCACTCTGCCGTCATGGAGAAAGTCCTTAAGCACCTTAGGGTTCCACATTTCGCATTCGTAGAGTTTAAATTTGTACGGAAGGCAGTGGTTTCGACGCCAATATGGGTCGCTTCATACGGTTCATCTTCGTGGCTTCCTAACATATATAGAGGAAAAAATTAAAATTTATTCAGTTACAAGAAATTATTGAATCTTTGCATATATGAAGTTAAATGATAAGATATTATTTACGCAAAAACAAAAAGCTTATGATATGTACTTGTTAGTTCCAACGCAAATTTGTAACAATATGTCATACGGTTTGTATTTCTGGTTTCTAATTAATAGTAAAATATGTGGGCTGTGGCGTGGTATGAAAAAAAAAAAAAAAAAAAAAAAAACCCCTAACACCTAAAATGCAATTATATATAAGGAAATTTGATAAAAATTAGAAAGTTGAAGATAATGCCTACAGTTTTATTTTTCTTATCTTAACAAAAGAATCTCGTTCCCAAAATTATATATATACATAACATGACATAGAGGAAACAAATAACAGTAACAAGAATGTTATGTATACGAGGAAACAAATAACAGTAACAAGAAATTCTTGGACTTTTACGTATGAAGTTTAAGTGATAATATCATGTCTATATAGTTTTCATATAATCATAATAATTTTTGAAAATGAATATATAGTCATGTATTCACAATTGTTACCTTTTGTGGAAAGGCTGCTTCCGTTTGCATAGTTGAGACTACGATCAGCGGAAAGACAGACGACAAGGTTCTGGCGACGTAATTTGTCGCGGTAGATCTACCATTGTTTCGTATCGGACTCGGTTTGAGCATAAGTTGTGGCTATGTCGAATCTACTATCAACCCGAACAGTGTAATTGTCTTCGTTTTCGGCTCGTTTAATGTTATCTCCATGGCTTCGCCTTCTTGCCTCCATAGTTCTCTGTGTTTATTTCTGTGTTTTTTGCGTTGGTATCTTCATCTATAGTGCCTAGTTTAGGATATTTATATAGCCAGATTTATTATTATTATTATTATTATTAGTCATTGAATTATGACACATGCCACTTCGATCCACAAACTTTTAAATTTGATAAATTACTGCTTAAATTTTAATTTTTAGGATGTTTTGGTCCTTCACACTACAATTGGAGAATGGTCTTGCAATTTCTAAGATAATCCTTTATAGAAATAGTTACCTTAAATGCAAAATGTTCTAGCTTTGTTTTAATAATAATGAGGAGAATATATATTTTATATTTTTTTTGAGAATATATATATTTTATATTTAACACAAATATTTGTGAAAAAATTCATTTATCGTGCAACTAGGACATGATGTTTTCTCTGAAATTTCAAAAACTTTTTGTCAGTAGCTAGAGATCAAAACAGTAAAAAAAAAAAAAAAACAAAACAAAAGTTAAATGACTAATTTATCAAAATTAAAAGTCAAAAAACAAAACAGAAGTTAAATGACTAATTTGTCAAAATTAAAAGTTCAAGATCAAGTGAACAATGCTCAACTAAGAATCTCAAAATGTTGATTGCAAACTAGGAGTAAGGCTGTTTTGGAGGTTATTTGTGAAAATAACCGCTAAATGATTCCAAAATGAAAAATAAGAGTCACTGGTAAAAATCCCCAGGACGTACGATCAAACAAAATTAAGAGGAATCCCAATAAAAATTGGGTGGGGACCCGGCGGTTTAGGTTCCATTGCTCTGTATATATTTTTAAATAAAAAATTGCTAAAAGTGGGAGCATCACAACATTAAAATGTTTTTTCAGAGAGAAAAAGTTGATATTGGCTTTTTTTTGTCCCGCGTTTTTTCCGGAACATAAAACTGTTGTTCTTGTTCTTCGCTTCCTTCAATTATACGTTGGAAATCAGAACTGCCCAATTACTTATTACCTCCAATAATAAAGCTTCATTTACCAATCCAAGTACTCGCCATCACAAAATCATGAAAAGCAGATAACGTCTCTATTAAATAGCTCTACCTTAACTGAGTATTTGTATGCCAGTATGTGTTGTTTGTCTATCATTTGGACACATGGTTTAGAATTGGTCGTATGGCAGCTTTGAAATCTTCGAAAAATCTTTGCTCCGAAAATCTGCTAGCTCGTCTCCTAGCTGCTGAAGCCATCTTGAGCCTCTCGGTCTCTGGCATTTCAATGATACTGAGAATAGCGTCTGCATATTCATCCACGGTGCAGGCGAGAAATCCGGTTTGCAGTCCACCTTCTTCCAAAACAATATCCATCTTCGGGCCAGCAGAATTATGAGCTGAAGCAGCAAGAAAGGAAAACAAGGTAGGTCGGTGCACATAAAAAACATTAAAATGAGGCAGAATATATATGAACTTTCTTGACCAAAAAAAAAATCAGCAGGGGTGCTTACCAATTGGGATGGCGCCCGCAGCCATATACTCTACCACGCTAATGCCAAAGTGTTCATCAGTCATGGAATGAATCCCGGCGATGGCACCTCCCAAAAGTTTCACCAGATCCCTGAAGATGTCAAAATTAACTGATACTAAGAAAGAGAACAAAAATCCAACAGATAGAAAACAGTTGGTTCCCAGAAAAAAAAAAAAAAAAAAGAGAGAGAGAGCATGCTAGAACATTGTGATCGTCATTAAATTTGTATTCATCTCTTTCAAGTTTCACCAGCTACATATTGTGTGCTAGTTAAGAGTTTTTCTTTGGGGCTTTAACAAATAAGGGAACAGAGCCATAATCACCAAACTTTCGAAAAGAGGGAAATTCATTTCATTTCTTAATTTCTTATGAAAGCCAATAAAATGAGCTCTAGATTCACAAAGTTTCTCGTGGCTTTTCACATCACAGATACGCATTCTGGATGTTCCTGCCAAAACATTTAACTACAAGACTAAAACACGCCACAAATAAGTTTCAGGAACAGACCTGTATGTAAGATTTTTATGGAATTCCACATCTGAGTCCACCTTCAGTTCAACTGCTCTATTCTTCAAATTTTGTAGTCTTTCCTCGTCCGATTTATTACGACAACTGCCGACAAACTGGAGCTTAGGTCTTGGCAAGTTGGCATCTAGACTTCCTAATGCAACTGAGAAGGCCTCAAGTTGGAGAGTGTGTGCCTGGGAGAGAAGAACCAAGTTACAAAGGGTTTGTGATAAAAACCAAAGGCCTCAGAATGGAGCGGCCAAAAAATTTAGTACCTTCTGCTCATATGCCCACCTTTTCTGGACGAAATTGAGCAACGGATATAATCTTGGGGGGCTTAGCTGACCTTTCTAAAGGAAGTACCTGTTTCAGTAATGCTAGTTAAAAACTCACAAGTGATTGACAACAAATATTAAGATACATGTTTGAAAAGTAAGAATTGGAAAAGCATGGTCACGATAGTGCAATATGCCATGAACAAAAAAAAAGTACCGCATTGAAGCAGATAAACGATGGTGATTGATTAGGGACAGGAAATTTTGGCTTGATTGTACTAACAGTACAAAAAATTCAATGCAGGTCCTGCTACAAAGATCTTGTCCAATCATGCACGGATTTTCTGATATAATTATGTAGAAAAATAGAAACAAAAGATTACAAACCTGAAGTCCAGAGGTATCACAAGGAGGATAGACTCGCTTTGTACGATCTGGGATCTTCCAAAGCTTCTCAATGTGAGACCGAGTCCATGAAGAGTTAACCATAGCAAGATGGGCACAAGATCCTACAAAGCCATACATCCAGCTGAATAAAGTGTAATAGATGATTTTGATCCTTGATAGCCAAACACTGCCACAAGAGAAGATCTATGAGGTTTTGCATTAAAGCAGACAAAGGTAATACATAGTTTCTCAATTCTACTGAAAATCCTGAAGAGATGAAAGCTGAAACAACAGCGTCCTGGTAAATGTATAGGACTGAGATTTATCATCAGGTTCCAAAATTATCTTAAACATATTTGACCAAAAATTTGTGCAAGAATCACGACAACACAAATATGCAATTTAACAACCACAAATATAACCTTTGAGGAATAAAGGAATTGTTATCAGTAGTTCAATAGTCTAACAACACATGTTTTCAACATGATGGCCCAACATTTAGTGCAACAAGAGCGTAGTATTCAATATTCATAAAAAAGATCTAAGGAGTCAATTCACACCTTCGAGCAATCAAAGCATCATTGTTGTACATAGAATTCTGATCACGAACACGAGATAGCATGTCTACACTGATCGTAGGATAATGGGTATAGCAGATAACTTTGCATCCAAACATCCGGGCAAGTGGATATGTAAAAGCATATCCACTAGTATCAAAATAATATAAAGGGGTGAAACTGCACAAAGCTTCCCAAGAGAGGTATACAGAACCAAGGCTTTGCCCAATCATAGTGAACCGAGGATAAGTCGTTTCTTCCACCCACTTCCTTTTATACAAATGCACCACCTGAGCATTGAAATATTGTAGTGTTTGTGAATTATAAGTAACTTCATGGCAGCTCATTTATCATCTTGAAAACCAAAATTTAGTCATTAGCAATCCTAATCTCAAAGTAGAAAAAACCCTGCTGCTGCTTATTGTTACTGAGCTGATTAACCCAGGAAAAGACCTCCCTCCACATTGAAATTAAACCAATTTTTCAACTGATATTTCAGTGCCTAGTTTATAACAGATTTTTACATAAATTTTGAATGCAAATAGAAATTTTAAGAGCTATTATATTTTACATGTTTCACCGTTTCTTTACGGGGTTTAAGAGCTAATTACACTTGTAAAAAAAACCCTCAAAACTTGCTTAACCAATCAAAATTTGATTAAGAAAAACAAAAACTAGAATCACATATATTATATATGAATCCAATTAAGAGAAGAAATCGCAAGGAAATTTTATTCAAATTAAATTGATTACCTTAGGTGGATGAATGAGTTTGACTCCGAATCGGTCAAGGGCTCGAGCCATCAAGGTCTGAGGCGAGGCATCGTGGTCGCCGGTGTAGACGACGCAGTCAAGGTCGGGGAGTTCCTCCTGAAATGCCTTGACGGCGCACCACAGAACTCTCTCTCCTCCGCCGCCGTCGTTGGTGTAGGGATGGAAGAACCCCACGGCTCGTTTCCTGCTCCTTCTGCCATTGATTACGTGCCAAACGAATCGAAGAAGTAGGGCTACTGTAGCAGAAATCCAAGCCCAAAGGGCAATTCCATTTGCCATTGAAGTGTAGTAAATCAAGGATTTCGGATCGAATCGGAATCGATCATCGATGGCCTAAACGACAAGTATGGAGCTTTGCAGTAATGGAATGGAAGTCTGGTAACTTCTTTTTTTCTTTTTTTTTTTAAGGAATCTAACTCCAAAAAAAGTTAAAAAGAAAAAAATGATAAGTTTCTTCCATTAATAAGTAAATAAATAAAGAGATGTTTGGTTCATGAATTAAAATTATGAGATTAAAATTATTTTTGATTTATATGTGTTTAATTTTTAATTTATATGTATTTTTTATAAAAAAAATACTATAATAAACCACAAATCATAATTCAAATCAAGACACGAATCTCCCAACCAAACAACCCCTAAAATTCATAATTCAAAAAAATTTAAAACATTCACATTATAATTTTAAAAAAAAGTATTCTTTAAAAAGTTAATTTCCGCTGCCGGGATTCGAACCCGGATACTAAACTCAAGTATTAACCAATGAGCTACAGCGGATTTTCAATTGCAATGATGATTTTTTAGTTCTATATTGGAATTAGAACTCAGTTCTAATTAGCTGTGTCAATTCGTCTGGCAGTGCACGATTTGGCACGGTCTGGCTTTTTAATGTTACGGGCCGGGCCAGCCCGGTACGTCTGAATGACTAGGGCTGGGTTGGGCCTTATTTTCTCAACCTGCGGCCCAGGCACGACCATGGCCCGTTGAAGACTCAGGCACACCCAGACCAGGCACGACATAGGCCCGTGAAGGACTACGCACGGACCAGCACAGGCCCAGGCACAGCCCTGCCCAGGCACAGCCCTGCCCAGGGTCGGTGGTACCTCAACCGGTCGACCTCAGTGGTCGACTGGTAGAGGCATCACCGGTCGATTGGTGGATTACTACTTCTCTGCTATCGGTTGACCAGATTACACTCGATTTGCATTTTTTATCATATTTAATGACAAAAAAATGAAATATATCATATGCCCTAAAAAGTTGTGATTTTATTGAAATAATATGAATAATTACAAATAAATGACTGTCTCGTTAAAAATCTTGCTAAGTAAAACCTGTGGGGAGATCGAGACAAAACCTTAGCGAAGGAAAAAATAGTGCAGTATACAAGGATAATTAAATTACATTGTGGCTGAATTACTTCCAGAAGATTATGTTATGTCTGAGTTTGAAAAATAGTCTAGAATTGTTTCATCTGTGTAATGTTGTTTTCGTCTTCTTGTATCTCCCCATTCTTTCATGCACATTAGCCCCTCCAAGATATTCGGGTACATTATACTCCTCTTATCGTTAAGAATTTGATTGCTTACACAAAATGCTCGCTCTGATGCTACTGTGGACACTGGAGTTGTCAAAATGTCACGTGCTATAATAGATAATGTTGGAAAACAATCTTGTTTGCTCTTGCACCACTGTAAGATGTCTAGTTTGTCGTCATCAATTATAAAATTTGACTCAAAATATTTGACAAGTTCTGAAGACGGTCCATGTGTTGATGATGATCCCGATGCTTTCTCTTTTCTCTTCAAGAAGCTGCATGATGAACCTTGAGGACCGACACTACTCTTTGAAGTCGAAGTTGACTGTTGTTGTTGTCCTGTTTCGTATTTTTTTCATACAATGCAAATCTATCTTCTAACATTTTCCTTGCATCATCAATGGTTAGTTCTATATCAATAGATAAATTATTTGTTGTAGCAGACGTCAAAGATTCTGTACCATCTAATTGACATCTAGGATCTAAAATTATTGCTAATGCATATAAAATTGGACAACCGGCCTAGTAACTTTTTAATTTTCTTTCCATTTGACTTACTATGGGTGCAAAAATATCATTATGCCTATAATAAGCAAATGTTTCAGAAATATTAAATAATTGATGCAAAACAAGATGAGCAGTAGGATAATACACACCAGAAAGTAATTCGGTAGCATTGTAGAATACTTCTAAAAATTTTAAAAAGTACTCACCAATCTTCCAATCTGTATCATAAATAAAATGCTCACTATGCTTAGTGTTCACATATATAGTGATTATCTGTTGATACGGAATAGCAGTTTTCAACATTAAGTAGGTGGAGTTCCACCTATTTCGAACATTTGTTGGAAACTTTCTTAGCCTCATATGGCTATTTCTGCAATATTGTCAAAATTCTTGGAGCCGAGCTCCCGAACTTGAGATGAAAGATAACACTTCTCTAATTTTAGTTAGATGATGGGATATACTTTCAATACCAGCTTGGACTACTAAGTTTATGATATGACATGCATAACATTGATGAAAAAATTCTCCACCAAAAGGCGGTTTCAAATTTGCTTTGAACATGTTGATAGCAGCTGTGTTTATTGATGCATTATCAAAACTAATGGTTAAAATTTTATCTTCAATGCCATAAAATTAAAAATTACCATAATAGCAGAAAAAATATCATTTGCATTATGTGGAAAAGGACATAAACGAAAACCAATAATTCACTTTTGCAAAACCAAATCCCCGTCAACATAATGAGCTGTAGCGCATAAATAACCAGTTTTATTACAACCCTCCTAAAGATCAGATGTGCAAGAGACTGTAGCATTAAAAGACCTAAAATTATCAACAAGCGATTGTCTTATTGCATAAAAAACTTTCATGCAATTAGCTCTAGTTGTGTTTCTACTGACCCTTTTAAATTGTGAAAAAAATTCAATATGAATAAATTCTTTAAATGCTTCATCATCTATAAAAGACAATAGTAATTCTGCACTAGCTAAAAATTTAGCTAGTGCCTCGCGAGCACATTGTGCATCATATGAAAATTTTTGTAAACCTTGATTTGTGAGTGAAAGTGTTTGTTGGCGGGAGTCCACACCACCACCTTAGTGTAATTGCAGACATGTATTCCAATGCCTATTGAGATGGCTTGTACCCCCACATTTTTTGTTAGAAAAGTATTTTTTTACAATATTTACAAACCGCACGGATTTTAATTTCACCTGTTTTTAGATTTGGTCATAGCTCCTCCGTGTAATGTTGCCATGCATGAGCTGTGCGCAGTCTTTTTCCCCTTGCATGTTCTCTTGTACCCTCGTTGTGCACCGATTGGTCATCAAGCGGAACATTACCCTCATTAGTGGGGTTGGAGTTGTGCATCAAAATTTCATCATCATAAAATGGTTGATCTCCAAAATCAGGAATATTTGATTCCGCCATTTTCTGTAAAAAAAAAAAAATAATAATGTTAACAAAAATATTTATAAACAATAAACAATGTAAATTTCCATTAAATAATAAAATATTATACAAAAATAATGAGTAGACTACCTATTTTTCGGGATGTCTTCAATTTGATTGAAATTTATAAATGAACGAGATAAGAGAAAGTTAGGAAATCAGAGAGAAAGATAAGAGAAAGTTAGGAATCGAGAGAGAAAGCTATAAGAATCAGAGAGATAGAGTGGAGTTGAGACTTGAGAGTGATGTAGAAGAGTTGAGAATGTTGTGAGGGAGATAAGCCTTTTATAGTGTTTTCTATCTCTTAATCTCACTCTACAATGGATATATTTTTATCTGTTGAGCAGGATCCAGTCCACCGCTGTGGTAACATGGATAGCTCCATCACAAACATTTAACTCCAGAAATCCATGAAAATCCATTTTGAACCAAAATAGGTTTTCTAATCTGAAAAATTTGAGATTCAAGAGAGGTTTTTCAGAAATCTAACCTCAAATCATTCTCTTGACGTTGAAACTTCTTTAAATCCTTCTTTGATTCAAGATCCGGTTGATTTGAAGCAAAAACGGGAGAGAGAGAAAGTGAGGGAATGAGAGTGAGAGAGACTGAGAGTGTGCAATGCACGTGAAAGAAAAGAAAAGAAGGAAAAAGGAAAAAGGAAAGAAAATGAAAAAGAAAAGACAAGTGTCCAACGTTTAAAATGACAGTCCAGAAAATGTGTCTACACACACTTCTGGGGTAAAAATGTAAATAATTAAATATTTAAATTCCTTGGAATCATCTAAATATATACTTTGGAATTATTTAAATTTACACGTCAGAAACATTTATTAATCAATAATAAATTAATTAAACTAGATTAGGCACACTAATAAATCTTAATTATCTTAATTAATCTCATTTAATTCCTTGGAGTGTTACAGCTCTTGTAATTGGCCCACTTGGAATGTGTAATGGATAAGCTTGAACCACCTAATGAGTTGTATCACTTTCCATTTTTACCCTTAATTTTTTTTACTTTTCACTTACTTGTTACCTACTCTTTTCTCTTACTTCGAGTTTAATAAAAAGAGGTTAACTTTTGTTTCCATTTATCCTCTTCATCGTTTGTGCTTTTTACTCACTTGTTATCTATTCTTTTCTCTTTCTTAGAGTTTAAGAAAAAAGACGTCTTAAAACAGATGGGTGTCACAAATTTTTTTTTTTCCATTTATACCATTCATATTTTCTACTTTTCACTTACTTGTTATCTACTCTTTTTTCTTACTTCGAGCTTAAAAAAAAGCGGTTAATTTTTATTTCTATTTATGCCTTTCACCTTTTATACTTTTTACTTACTTGTTATCTACTCTTTTTTCTTTTTTAGACTTTAAAAAAAGATCTAATTTGTGTTTCCATTTATACTCTTCATCTTTTGTGCATTTATACCCTTTATCTTTTATACTTTTACTTACTTTTTATCTACTATTTCCTCTAACTTATAATTTAAGAAAAAGCAGTTTAATTTTTATTTCCATCTATGCACTTCAACTTTTTATACTTTTACTTACATGTTATTTATCCTTTTCTCTTACTTGGAGCTTAAGAAAAAAGTAGTTTAATTTTTGTATGTACTTATACTCGGGCCGAGTGCTTTTTGACAGCGTTTTTTTTCCATAATTTGAGGCCATTTTTTGCAGGCATGCTCAGAAACTTTTTTACCTATCCTGGCCCCTAGGTGCCCCACTACGTGGACCGAGGGTTTTTTTGGCAGCGTTTTAATTTTTTTTGACACTTTTTGAGGCCATTTTGTGCAAGCATGGCCAGAAAAATGTAAACATCGTGTGTGCAAAATTTCAAAATTTTTGGACGTCATTTTTGTTATTTTATTTTTCAAAGTAGAAAAATAGAGAAAATAAAAAAAAAATAGAATATTCAT